CCTTTTCTAAAAAGCAGATTGTTATCCCAGGTATAAGATGTTTTCTTGTTGCTGCCATTCTGTATAGCAGTGATTAACTTGTCTAGTGTAGGGTCCACTCTATAGACAGCCTTGATCTCTTCTATGAATGGACAGTGATGTAAGGTCAAAGTGAGCAAGGTAGGGTCATTTTTCACCCTAGATAGTCCATCAGCCACCACATTTTCCTTTCCCTTTTTATACATGATTGTGAAATCATACCCCATCAACTTCACTAGCCATTTTTGTTGTGCTGGTGTAGAAACTCGTTGGTCCATGAGATACTTCAAGCTCTGGTGGTCAGTTTTGACCACAAAATGACTGCCTATCAGGTAAGGTCTCCATTTCTGGACTGCAGTCACTAATGCTAAGAGCTCCTTTTCATAAGTAGATAGTCCTCCTTGGTGAATAGTTAGTGCCTTACTCATGAAAGAGATAGGTCTTCCTTGTTGCATAAGTACAGCTCCCAAACCACTTCCAGAAGCATCAGTCTCCACCACAAATTCTTTAGAAAAATCTGGTAGTGCTAGTACTGGAGTATGAGTCATAGCTTGCTTCAACTCTTGAAAAGCCAACTGAGCTGCTTCATTCCATCTGAAGTTGTCTTTCCTTAGAAGATTAGTCAGTGGCTGTGCTATCTTGCCATAATTTCTCACAAACCTCCTGTAGTAACCAGTCAAACCAAGGAAACCCCTTAATTCCTTCAAAGTTTTGGGAACTGGCCACTCTACCATGGCTTGTGTTTTAGCTGGATCTGCTGCTACCCCAGCAGGTGTGATGATGTGCCCCAAGTACTCAATGGAGGTAGTGCCAAATGAGCATTTACTCTTTTTCAGAAAGAGTTGATTTCTGTGCAAAATTTCCAAAGTCTCTCTCAGCTGCTTCAAATGAGAGTTCCAGTCTTTACTGTAGACTAGAATGTCATCAAAAAACACCAATATGAACTTCCTTAGCTGCTGCTGGAATACATTGTTCATTAGGCTTTGAAAGGTGGATGGTGCATTAGTTAAGCCAAATGGCATTACTAAAAATTCAAAATGGCCATGATGTGTTCTGAAGGCAGTCTTCATCACATCTTCCTTTTGCATTCTAATTTGATGATATCCAGACCTTAGATCCAATTTAGAGAAAACACTGGCTCCATGAAGTTCATCCAACAGTTCCTCAATCACTGGGATAGGAAATTTGTCTTTAATAGTATGTTTGTTCAGCTCTCTATAATCTACACACATCCTCCAGGTGTTATCCTTTTTCTTTACTAAGACCACAGGTGAAGAGAATGGGCTGGAACTAGGTCTAATTACCCCTGACTGCAATAGTTCCTCCACAATCTTTTCAATCTCAGTTTTCTGAACTGTAGGGTACCTATAAGGTCTCACATTCACTGCCTCTGTTCCCCCTTTGAGGTGAATCTGATGATCATGTGATCTGTTGGGGGGTAAGGATTTAGGTTCACTGAATAGGCTCTCATATTCAGTGAGTAGATGGTGCAAGGTTTGGTCTGAGCAGACTTCCAATGACTGAAAACTTGCTTCAATTTGGAGAGCCTCTTTTGCACCCCTTTTAGACTCCTCACACTCTTGCATTGTGCCAATGCACTGATAAGTGATCTGAGAGGGATTCTGCAGAATTTTGTTAAGTTTCTTGTTGGAGACAACCTTAACATTATTCTGATGGAGACCTCTAAGCATCACCCTCTTGCCACCATAGTTAAATTCCATTCTGAGCTCCTGATAGTTACTTATGATGTCCCCTAAGGTCACTAACCACTGTATTCCCAACACCAAGTCACAAGTGCCTAAGGGTAAGGTCATCACCTCAGATGTAAATTCCACCCCATGCATCTTCCACACAAATGCAGTGCACTTATATTGACTCCTCAACCTGTTTCCTCCTGCTACTGTCACTGAAAATGGCTTTGATTCGATCAATTTACACCCTAGTGCCTTAGCTGTCTCAATATCTATGAAATTGTGAGTAGCCCCATTGTCAATCAATATCCTAATGCTCTTTCCTCTTGCTGACCCCTTCAATCTCATGGTTTTGTAGTCATGTGCCCCAGTTATGGCATGCACAGACACATGAGAAATAGGTTCATCCCCATCCCAATCTTGTTTCTCTTCAGAAGTTAGTGTGGAAGGTGACTCCAGCTCACTCTCAGGGCTCATTTCTTCATCCCCAATCTCCATTACATACATTTGTTTCCTCTTTGGGCAGTGATGATCCCTGGAATACTTTTCATCACACCAAAAGCACAACCCCTTAGCTCTACGTTCATCAAGGTCCTGGTTAGGTATTCTTCGGTTTGGGCTCATGGAAGGGTTTCTGGTTGGGTAATTTGGTGGTTTAGGTAATATAGGAAGTGAAGACTGAGGGTAGTGATAGGGTTTGGATGGCTGTGAATAAGGTGGGTGGGTGGGATTTCGATTGAGGGGTAAAGGGTTGGGTCTGTGTTGGGTGTAGTTGGCTCTAATGGTTGGTTGAAAAGTAGGTTTCCGGGGAGAGGCTAGCTCCATCGACTGTTCTTGTAACTTAGCTAAGCTCACCACCTCCATCATCGTTTTAGGTTTAAACATACGGATAGGAATTGCAATTTCTGGTTTGACTCCCCCTAAAAAACAACTGACTGCTTGTGATTCTGAAAGGTTCACACTGTTCATGAGTACATCAAATTGATCCAAGAAATCCTGTAAGGGTCCAACCTGCTTCAAGTTCATAAGCTCGGACATAGGATCTTCAAAAAGGAGTGTTCCAAACCTACTGTTGAGAGCTTGGATGTATTCCTCCCAATAAGGAATTTCTCGGGTTAATCTGGCCTTCATATACGTTTGATGCCACTGTAACGCCCTCCCGTCCAAATGCATGGAAGCCAGTTTCACCTTCGACCCCATCGGAGTCTCATCCACATCAAAGAACTGTTCACACCGGTACACCCATCCCTTCAGATCTGTACCATCAAACCTGGGAAACTCCACAGATGAGCACTTCGTAGGCATCTGATAGTCATGACCACCTTGATTCTCTCCTCGGTTTCTCCCTCCTTCCAGATCTGGAGCTCGTGGCACCCCCACTGGTGGATCTGGAGCTCCGGTAAGTTTGGCTAACATCACTGCCATTCCAGCTCTCATTTCCTGCATATTTCTACTGCTTTCCTCTCTACTCTTGTCACTGTTCTCTGTTAGGGAGTGGATCTGGTCCTTCAGCTGGTCCATCTCTTTGCGCAGCTCTGCATATCTCGTGCCTTCAGCCATTTTCCTCCTAGGATCCGAGCCGCCGAGGATCGACGGCTCTGATACCACTTGCAACGTCCCGAAGTGCAATAATAGAAATAACACGATAATAAGAACACGTACGGAAATAGTATTAAAATTATGAAACTCAACGGATACACGAACCACCCGGGAAGCCTTAACAATGGAAAGCTTCGAAGGTTAAGTTCACAAACACTCAGACTCACGGAGAAGACGAAGATAGACACACACAAATCAGCTACCTTCTCCATAGCCGTTCTTACTATTTATATAACCCTAATAATAGAAAGTGCTGAATTAAATAGAAAGTGCTAAAGGAGAATCACGACTTTAGGTGGTTGAATAAGGAGCTGGAAGCAGCTCCTTGGCTGCCACGTGTCGATCTCTCATTCGCTGCTGATAATAAGGAACTAAAGAAAACGCTACTAACAATACTAAAAGAAACGCTACTACGGAATGCGTTTATAGTTTGATACTTAAAGTAATTATGACTCTGCATTTATCATTAATGCATGGCTGCCGTTGCATGGCTGGTTCCTCTTCTTCTTTCCAAATCTTTGTCTTGTTTTCTTGCACGTAACAAAATATGTTGGAGAAGGCAGAATTTTCGAGAAACCGATAAAAAAGCTCTAAATTTGTTCGATAGATCTCATCACACGCCTGATACATGGAGGAACCATTAAACCCCATCAGATTTGCACTGCAATACCCCTCATAATATGAATTTCTTCAATTCCATCCATTATACTCTAACATTATCAACATTATTGCACATTGACCCCGGATTTATACAAATATGTCACATTAACCCCATCAGAACTTGTTGCTAGGTTTTCGTTCTGTACGATTTCTTCCTTTCGACTACGGCCTGTGAAAAAATATTTGAAGGGGATTTTAGGTCCCAACGGAGGGGGGAAACAAAGTATATTGTAATGTAGCCATAAATTTACGTTTTTCTGGTGACTTGTTCGCCATTGGTGGAAGATAACTACTGTTGATGGTATATGAAATTGATGAGCGGAAGTTGACTACAGTTGTGGTTGTTTGGGTTGCCGTCGACGAAGATGACTAGTCATTCTTCGTTTTGGTTGAGCAGTTGAGGGTTTTTCCGGTGAATCTCCGTAGCGAGAAGATGGGTTTGTGATTTTACAGAGAGAAGTTGATTCGTCAATTTTGGTAGGTTTTGATAGTGGGGGGCGCGTTTATCGGGATTTGATTCTTCAATTGATTTAGAAATTCATATATGGTTGTAGGAGTAATTTCGGTATGTTCTAGGGGTTATCTCAAAGAAAGAATTTTAGGGGTGGACCTATCCCTATTTATTTTCCATTCCATCATAATCTAGTTTAGGTGCAAACTAGTGAATCTTCTCTTCCGTAGATGGAAAAATAACGGCGTATTTCGATAATTGGAACACCTTGATCTGTGAAGCGTGCACAATTGCTCAAGAGCTCACTTCACTTTGTGTTCGAGGGGAGACTCTAATAATTGAGTCAAATGATGGTTTGTAAAAGGTACGGCTTCTTCTAAGGCATCTTCTCCCTGAATTCGAACGTGGGCTGCTTCGTACAAGCTTTGTAGACCTTCGACATCACTACTAAGCATTTCATTCAATTTATTGGCTTTGTCCGTGAATTTGTCGAACACACCTGTTTCGATGGCGTCAACCAAATCGAATTTTAAAATTGGTACGAAATATTAATTGATTCAATTTACCGTGACTTGTAACTAATATTTTTTCATTCAATGATTTTATACTGGGATAAATATTTCACTCCATTGCACCTTTTTAAGCTCCAGATCTTGAAATATATTAATATTAGTTAACATTACAAACGCACAATACTCTTTATTTATTCAACAATCACAAACCAAACCAACAGAAAACACAAACAAATTTAGGTAGATAGTACAAAACGCAATGACGTAACGAGAGCATACGATGGAGCTAGGGAAAAAAAAGAAAGAAAGTTTAAATGACAATTGGATCAACAAATAAAGCAACAATGTGTGGACCCAAATTTTTTTCCGGATTCGTATATCCATCTTCACTGTTCCGGTAAGTCATCTCAGCTGCCCGGGCATAGTTCACAAGTTGCTCGACTATTTCTTTGGGTATCGAACCGGTTTTATTCGCCCATTCGTTACTAATATCCTTCCATGCATCCTCCACTAGTACCTCAAACATAGACAAGACCTCTTCCTTTGATATGCCATAGTGTTTCATGTAGCAATCCACCACTGTCAGATATTTTCCCTCTTTGTTCTCGCGCTAAAAATTCAGACACACGACCGAGAGCATGTTAACTAAGATGCAAAGTCACCAATATATGATATCGATCGATCGATCAAGTAACATGCAATCTAATGATTTTCTGTGAAAAAAAAAATTATAGATACACTTTTTTACTAAACTAAAATCAGACCAAATATTAGAATTTTCAGAAATATTGTATATAATTTAAATTTCAATTTCATTCCAAAAAGTTATAGGAGACAAAAAAAAAAAAATTGTACTTGAAAACTATAATTTTCTTTAATCAAAATCGGCAGAATTCAAAAGGCCCATTTTCAATAAATAATGTTATGTCGCTTGAAGTAATAATTAATGAGTTATCAGCTTATTTTTATGGTGGTAAACTCTTGCATGTGATAAGTTATATTAATACCTTATAAGTTGTTACGTCTTATTTTTATAATTAATTATTTTAAAGTGTTTGAATAATGATCATTATAAGCTATTTTTTACTCATTATAAGATGTTAAATAAAAATATGGGGTGTAGATATTTAAAAAAAATCTTATTTGCTCTTCTCCAGTTTATTTATTGAATTTTTAGGAATGTTTCTTAAGAAAATACTAAACACTTTAGAAGAGTTTTTAATCTCTTAAACATAGTATATTTTAACTATTTTTAAACGTAAACTAGGTGAAAAATCTCAAAATTAAAATCAAGTCATGCATAAATGTAATTAATGCATAAATTTTCAAAAATAAATATTGAAATAATACTACTTACTTCATGGCTTCCCAAATCGTCAATATGTCGACCAATCATCGCAGTCGAAACTACAATTTTAGGGTTACTGAGCAGCCAATCAATAGTTTCTTGAGTAACAGATTTCATGCCCGGAAAATGAGCTGTGAACATCACAAAAATGCTACTTGTGATCACTGAATTTTTCAGATACTCTTCTAACGGAGGCATTTTTCGTTCCATAATCCAGTTTTGCTCTATGTTGTAAGCCCTAGCAAGTTGTTTCACCTGCACATGCATCATCCACCAAATATATATTTAATTTGGGGAAAATTACGGTCTTCATCCCTCAAGTTTGCACTGATCTCACATTTAGTCCACGTGTTCCTAAAAAACCTCATATTTCAATAATTTAACACTTATGGTCATCTCTATCAATTTACCGTTAGTCTGTCAGTTAAGGCGGTGATAGGAACATGCTTGATTCTGTTAGTACAAACAGAAAATTGACGAAAATAACTAAAAGTGTTGAAATTTCGAAACATGAGGGACCAAATATGGAATTTTTGTAAATTTGAGGGATGAGAGCTATATATTTTCCCATTTAATTTGATATTTTGTGGAAATTATATATATGTGATAGCAGTTAATATTGATTTGGCCTTACCGCTTCTTTGTAAGAAGGAATCGCAAACGATTTTCCTTGTTTCGTTGCCTCTCGTTCGTAATCTTCATATATACTCATGATGTATTGATAAACAACCTTCATATAATCCGGGAGTTGACCAATTTCATTCATATCCCACCTGAAAAGAATTATTATAAAACAAAATATCTCATTCTATACTCACGTTCATCAGCCAACCATATAACTGCAGTGAGTACTTAAGGCAAGATAGGTACCTTTCAAGAACATCAGTAAAAAGCTGAGCTTCATTGAGTGTTGCATAATTATCATATGTATCATCTAGCACAGAAGCCATTTGCGTAGCTTTCGCAACCGCTTTTCGAACATACGAGTACTGGGGTTCGAAATGGAATGCGATACCCCAGAGATAGCACTCTATCGATCTGTCTCTTGCGTACGGCAATTTTGACTTTAGGTCAAAGTTGTTCCACCACCTTAATTTACCAAAAATAATTATTCAGGAACGGCTAAAGCCTATATAAGGCGGTTTTGTAGATGCTACACTCGGTGAAAATACACTAGGTGATCTACACATAATAACATGCACACACTCATGTATATGTGCGCTTACTGGATAGTTATTTGTATAAGATACAAAATCAACCGATACTTTTCATCAGGGGTAGCATCTCATAGATCATATAGTACCTAGGATATCATAAATAAATTTGGGGCCCTTGTTTTACTTTTAATATACAAGTAATTTTTTTTGTTTATGTATAAATATTTACAACAAGTAATAATTACTATATTATCTTCTCTTTATATTTTTTTATATTTTTTTATATTTTTTTATATAAACATATTTTCTTGGTGGCCCTAACATAAAATACAATAGTTTGGAAATATGTTGCTTACCTGTAGAGTTCGGAGAGCTCTTCCTTGTACATATTCTGCAGATAATTGAAATTCAATTTTGCTAGTTTTAAAATCATTTCATCCCTTGAATCATCTTTTTCGTAGATGGAAATGTAAACGCGTGCTTCGATAATCGGAACACCTCTATGAAGCGAGTGCACTAGAGCTCGCTTCACTTTGTCCTTGAGTGGAGATTCCAACGACAGCATGTGACGAGTCATATGATGTTTCGTAAAAGCTACGGCCTCTTCTAAGATGTTTTCTCCACGAATTCGAACATGGGCTGCTTCGTACAAGCTTAGTAGCCCCTCAACATCGTTACCGAGGGATTCTTCGAATTTGTTGTCTTTGTTTGTGAACTTGTCGAAAACACCTGTTTCGATGGCGTCAACCAAATCGAATTTTAAAATTGGTACGAAATATTAATTGATTCAATTTACCGAGACTGTAACTAATATTTTCATATTTTTTCATTCAATGAGTTTATATTTGGATAAATATTTCAGTCCATTGCACCTTTTTAAGCTCCAAATCTTCAAAGAAAAAAGGGTAATTAAAACCAACCCCTGAGGTATGGTCAAATTACGAAAAAACCCCTTCTGTTTGGGTAATTACAGTCACCCCATCAACTATAAATTTTCTTACACGTACACCCTTGTGGTGTCAAATTTAGTGGAATCTTTTAGATTATACGAAATATTCTCAATTTTGTACCCGTTTTATTGGATTCGAACTCCACATTTTGAAACAAGATGATCATAAGATGTTTTTTTTTTTGCTTTTGTAAATCAGATTGTGGTACATCAGAAACTGCATTTTTGCACAAAATGAGTAAAAACTAGAGAAGATTATGTTGAATTTGACACCATAATGGTGGACTTGTAAGAAGATCATAGATGAGGGGTAGTTGTAATTACCCAAACATGAGGGGTTTTTTATAATTTGACCATACCTTAGGGTGGTTGTAATTTACCCAAAAAAAAAAGTAAAAAAATTCAACATATTAGTTTCATATTATTTGAATTATAATTAATTAAATCCATTTGCAAATTAGACGGATAAATTAAAAAAGATAACGAAAAGGACATACTGCAAGAAACTTGATACTGATGTTGCCTTAAGAGCCGAAATCGAAGTGCAGTAGTGAACAAGTCGTCGTATTCTTGATCCTCATTGTAAATTTGCTCGAGCTTTTCTTCAATCGCCGTCTCGAAATGATAAGCCAACCCTAAACGCTCGATTGTGTCAACCAATACAAGCAGTTTGCCAGATGTTGCTTCCACCAACTTGCTTCTTACTTCTTGCTTTAATGTTTCTATGGCCTTTTCATACTTTTCTTGTACCTAGTAAAATCGAAACCATAGTTTTCTTGCAAGATTCAATTTTTTTTTAGGTATTTGGCATTTTATTTTTTGAATATTACTTTTGGCCCCCCTAAAGTTTTTGTAAATATGTATCTTAACCCATAATTTTTTTGTTTCTTCTCCACAATCTTATATAAATTATACTTGTATACATCATATCTAATATAAAAATATTTAATAAAATGGTTAAAATTTGTATTATTTTATATAATATTTATGAATATTTACTTATTTTGGAATTTTTTATCGGTGTCTCTTAAAAATAATATGAGACGATGCCATTAATCTCCAAAATATTTAAGTGCAATGCAATAAGATTTTTTGTCATGCTTAAAATATGATAAAACTATAATATATATGCTATTTTAATGTTTCTATGGCCTTTTCATACTTTTCTTGTACCTAGTAAAATTGAAACCATAGTTTTTTTATTTACGTTAACTATACACGATAGGGCGCATCGTCTAATTCAATGTAGCATGTTGCAAAGTCAAAGACGTTTGCTTCTAGTAAAAAATATATAGAGGTATATATGAATACCTGTTTGTCGAGAGAAAACGTAGAGAAAGTATCACCCCACATACTGGGGCTAAAAACGGTCACCGGTGGTCGAATATCCCTAAGGCAACTCGATAAGATACTCGCCATTATATTGTAGCAGCTCTATATGCTTCTAGTTAATATGGTGGTTGTTGATGATGATTGTGTTGTGAAATGATAAATAAGCAATCACCTATTTATAGTGGTATTTATGGTCCCCCAAAAAAACAAAAAGGAACAAACCACTACATATTATAATTAATTAGATGGCAGTATTTGAGAGCGAATTTCAAATCCATAATAACAGATCTATTGAGCTCGTCAGAATTGAGTCATTCGACAAGGAATTTTAAATTCATTGCTCTCGTAAATATTTAAGGGGAAAGTACAGTTTGCACCCCTAAACTATAGAGTTTGTCTCAAACATTCCTCTAAATTACAAAATATACCAAAATAGCCCCTGTCATTTATGGTCAACATTTGAAAATCTAACTGCGTCAGTTATCTTGTGCATTTACCTATTTATCCTATCGACAAACGCCTTTGATTTCGATCTAGGAAAAATTTGGAATCTGCCACGCTTCTTTGGGGAGAGAGTCACAATTGGGGACCGGGAAGGAGGGAGGGGTGGGTTTTTTTTTTATTTATTTACAGATTACTTCTTATTCTATTATAATTTAATGCAACAAAAATATGTATCTGAGTTCTTGAAATAATTAAGGGTGAGGAGGGAACGGGAAAGCAAAGTTGAGTGTATGGTTTGCATTCAATTTTTTTACCATATTATTTTTTAGACTGTTTTATCCATGAAATTGTTGTGTGTGTCTATATATATATATATAATAGCTCTTAACCCCTGTGGTTACAAGCTTTTGCAGTTGATCCCCTTGTACTCGTAATATCAGCGCATAACCCCTTGTGGTTGATAAATGTAGTTTCCATTAGTTTTTCCGTCAAACTTAACACACGCGCGTGTCAAACTTAAAGGGGTCATCTGCAAAAATTAAAGAAAATATTTAAGCACAAGGGGTCATCTGCAAAATAGAGTATTTTGATGTTTGACATCCGCAGTTAATTTTAGTGGAAAAAGTATGTTGTTAGTACCGGACCGAACCGGCCAGTCGGACCGGTTCGACCGTGTCCCGGCCTCGAAGCGGTCCTGTCTGAGCAGTAAAACCAGAAAATTTGAAAACCGCGGTAGAATGACCAAAATTCGGTTCGACCGGGTAAAACTCAAGAACCGGCAAGTCAGCCAAGAAACTTGGTTTTCGGCCAAAACGTCTCAAACTACCTGAGTTTGTTATTTGTGGCTAGAACTTGGTTTTCGGCCAAAACGTCTCAAACTACCGCTGAGTTTGTTATTTGTGGCTAGATTTGAGAGAACCTTCACGGACTTAGTGATGGGTGGCCGGATCTAGGCATGAGTGGTCAAAGGATTGCCGAATATGGTCATGGGTGATCAAATAGCGGTAACCGATTGTAGCATTTGGAAAATAAATAATGGTAAAATATAAAATATAAGAAAAATAAATATAGTAAAAAGTGTGGTGAGGTAGATAAATGTGAAAATAATAGGTCGAACATTAAAAATATAAAGAAAATAATATTTTTAAAATATTAAAATTAATAAAATAATGACATATTAAACAAATCAAAAAACTCAGTTGAACCGGTTCGACCTTTTAAAACCATGACTCAAATGGGATTTGTTCGACCCTACACCCGGTGATAAACACCTGGTGGGTCTTCTGTTGCCACGTATCTCTTTTTTGTATTTTATAATAGATTTCCCGCTAGGCTTTAGCTTTAGGGTTTTAGAAAAATAAAAAAAGGAATACGTGGCATCAAAAGACCCACCCGGTGTTTATCACCGGGTGTAGGGTCGAAGGAACCCTCAAATGGTCGTCCGGTTTCATAGTCGGTCCGGTTCTGACAACATTGGGAAAAACTAACGGAAACTACCCCTATGAAATACACGGTAATTATGTGATAGATATTACAAGCACAAGAGAAAAATCATCTGGAAAAACTTATAACCACAGAGGGGCTAACGTTATTTACTTTTTTTTATTGGTAGGATGATAATGAATGTAAATCAAATTTATAAATATATAAACATTAATTTTAATAAGATTTTAATTTAAAAAAAAAAAGTTGAAATCATACATTATCTTTAGAGGAGGAATATAATAAAAACAAATATAGTAATTAGACAATAAAATATGTAAAAGATAAATAAAAACAACCTGGGCAATGGTCCCTTTCGAACCCTAGTACAGCCAGTGCAAGGAACACTAACGAGTCTAACCTAACATGTAGTTGACCAAACTAAACTAATCACATGCAACTAAACTAATCACATGCATGGCACATAAGTCTCCCCGTATATATATACCCTGGCGGATCTAGACAACATTTTAAGGGTGGCGAATTTTTTAGGAAAAAATATATCGAAAGGGATGTTATAATTTTGGGGATTTCGGGGGCAGCACCCCCAAAAAAAAATTCGAGTTATTCACAAAATATTGCTACAATAAGTATATATTTATAATTTTGAAGTAAAAATATATATTTCAGTAGTTGTATTTTATATTGTAATGACAAATAGAGAAAGAATATCCAAAATTACATAAAAGAATAGAGAAGAAAATAAAAAGGGGGGCAAAAACACATATTTGTATAATAGTATGTCAAAAAGTAATAAAAAAAAGTTAGAATATTTTTTTCTGGGGGACGGCTGCCACCCTGCCCCTGAGTAAATCCGCCACTGATACCCCTGAAGTTGTTTTGAAAATAATCATAGAAATATTGTGAACAGGTAGATATAATTGACATTTGTTTAAATATAATAAAATGAAATATAGTATATTTCAACTTGCCGTAACTCTTTGAAGTTAGAGATAGGCAGTGTAGGTTATTAAAAAAAATGCAAATATAGCTGGAAAAAGAGGTTAGAAATATTGAAATAGATAATAATTCGATAGAAGAACTCAATAACTAACTAATTTATTGATCTAAAACATTTCATTCACATCAAATTTAAGAATAAGTGTAAAAAATTCCAACAAATACTTAAAGGGAAAAATACATTTTTACCCTCAAGTTTGCACCAATTTCACATTTCATCCCCATGTTCACAAAAAAAAACACATTTGGTCCATTATGTTTCAAAAATTCAATACTTTTAGTCCTTCTTGTCATTTTTTTGTTAGATCTAATGTAATCAAGCATGTGTCCATGACTGCCTTAACTGGCGGATTAATGATAAATTGACGGAAATGACCAAAATTGTTAAATTATTGAAACATGAGGGACCAAATGTGTTTTTGGTGAACCGTGGCGGGGCAAAATGTGAAACCGGTGCAAACTTGAGGGATGGAAACATAATTTTTCCAATACTTAAACTCTATATGTAAAATAATATAGTTAAGGTTATGGTTATTGAAATTGCTGAACTATTTTATATATTTTAAATATCGTTTAATACTATGACAAGTATATATAAAGTGTAAAACATTATTTGAGGGCACCTACTTTTTCCTAAAAATCAGGGGATGGAGGCGACCGTTTATCTCGCCTATAGTCAGAACCGGCCCTGAAGATACATAGAATAGACTCACTGGATTCTTTTATGTTTAACTTGATAGAAACTTGTGACAAAATTTGGGAGGGAAAATATTAATCAATTTAATAATTAATGGAAGAAGCGTGACCTCTCTACAACCAAGCTAGGGTTGGACAATAATTAGGTGATAAGCTGTACATAGTCAATTCCATCATAATAAAGTTTAGGTGCAAATTAGTGGATTGAATATAATATATACCCACTAACCTCACTAGCAAATACGACCGTTTAGTTCTGAGATTTGTACATAAACCTGCTGTTATGCATGCCCATTTCTTGATTGACAACTTACTTGGTTGGGGTGTCTAATACAGCTTACTATTGTTAGAATTCTCCCTTCTGGTTACAACCGTTTGTGGTTACAAGTGTTTGCAGATGTCTCTTCTGTGCTTGTAATATCAGCACATAACTCCACTTTGTGGTTTATGGGTAAATTCTGTTAGTTTTTCCGTCAAACTTAACTGTATGTGTCAAACTTCAAGGGGGTCATCTGCGAAAATAAAAGGAAAAATGAAAGCACAAGGGGGTCGTCTGCAAAAAAATACTTTGACATTTGACAGTGGCGGTTATGTTTGACGGAAAAACTAACAGAAGCTACGGGCCGGGCTACCCCCATCAACCACGAGGGGATTATGTGCTGATACTAAAATATAAGGGGCTCACCTGCAAAAGCTTGTAACCATAGGGGGTTAAGTGCCATTATGTTGTTGAACACGAAATCCCCTGAAGTTTCGTGATCAACATCAAAAAATACTGGATTTCAAAACTTTATTGAAGTTGTTGTTGTTCGTCAATTATATTTGTGAAACGGGCTTCAGAGTCCAAGATTTTTGAATTCAAAGTTGAGAGGGCTTAGACTTTTTTAGAATGTTTGAAAATAATAAAATTAAATCTTGTTGCATTTCAGTAAAAATCCCGCTACAATTAGCATTTCGTATTCAAAAATTAAGAAAACTAAAAGGCAGATCGAATCTTCAACTAAGTTTTCATGATAGACTTGCACGATAATTTTATTTTGCTACAAAGCCTACAACTACAAATGTCTAATATTTTTTTTATTTTATCTTTTTTTTTAATTATAGAGGCTTATAAAAGGCATACATTAAGAAATAATAACAATAAAATAAAAACCAGTAGACTCTAAATTCTCATTCATGAACAAATACAACATCCAATAAAAAATTAAGCGTAAATGATAAATAGGTCCATAGCAAGGGACTTAAATGGACATATGTTCATAGTCCAGACAAAAAACAGTTTCGCCAATAGACCTATCCCTATATTTTTTGTCTAAAATACTCTTCATAATATAATTCTTATCAATTTCGTTCATTATACTATAACTTTATCAATATTGCACATTGACCCCGGATTTGAACAAATATTCACATTAGCCCCTATTTTTTGAAAAAAAAAATTAATTTTTTTATGATTTTTTTATGATTTTTTTTTATGAATTTTTTTCACGGCCAGATTCTGGCAT